CACACACACACACAAACAAGCACACACAAACACACGCACGCACGAACACACACTTCATCTTCAGCTGACAACAATCAAGCTAATAAACCAACAAAAATTTCCTGGTTTGCCAACTTGAATCAATTATTACTTTTTAATCCTACAGCATCAATTTCATGAAGCCTGTAAAGCTCATATACAGCTTATATTTCACCTCACAATCAAAAGAAAGAAACGAAAGCCATTTTTTAAGATCATTAACATTCTTTATGCTTTTTTTTTTTTTTTTTTTTGTTAAGCATATTATTCCTACAAATTCTCACTGTAATGCAATGAAGATATAACACTTACATATTATTAATACATTATTTAAAATCAATTTTTAAAGAATATTTTAGATTTATTTAGGCTTTTTTAATGCATTTTGATAGAATTTGTTTCATTGCCTTCAATTTATGCTTATTTCAAATAAACAACCCATTGTATTACAGTAAATTTAATATGCTTAATTGTCATAAAATAATTTCACAATGCAAATAATCTTAATTGTCCTTAAAATAAGCTTGATATTCTTTGTGCAAAATGCATTTATTTATATTAATTCATAATAATGTATTTATTATTAAATATAATATGTATATATTATAAAATAAAGTAATATAATATTGATAATGAAATGCATTATAATAATTTGTTACAAAAATTATATATATATATATATACATTGACCTGGTTGTGTTTTTGTGAGATTCACACACTTTGTATTTGGTATCTTTCAGAAATTATAAATGTTGATATATGCATCTATTACTATCAAATTTGAAAACATGTTTTATGCATTTAATAAAACTCGATGCAAGAGTAAATGTGAAGTATAAATGTTCATAACTACAGGAATTGTTGATAATTATTAAGCATACCTTGTTCTGGATCATATTTCCACCTGGATGCAGGTCAACAATCAGGAGAATCACTCCGATCCCAGACACGACCAGACACACGATGTTAGCAATGAAGCAAGTCTGGAACCAAAACTATTGTTTGTACTTTCCAAAAATTGAATTTATTAAATATTTAAATATTCAAACGCACACACTAACCTGGAGAAGCTCGGGATGTTTGTACAGAAGATTAGACAAGATTCCAGCGAAGACAAACTGGAAGAAAAAGAGAAACTGATTTAGGTTGTTGCATCAGATGATGCACATTATCAATGAATATATTGATTATTTTCTGTAGCATTAGTGAAATGTGTCTCTATAACGTCTCAAAATCTAAAATGCGGTATTTTATCATGAATGTATTCCTGCATGAACTGCACAGTGAAATACATTGTCAAGCAATTACAGCAGAAGGAATGAAGCTCACCATTATTCCAGTAATGATGGGAACTCGGAATAAAGTCAGGAAATTATCATCGATCCCGAAAGACACTGCAAATACAACCCCGATCCCAAAACTCAGGATCCCACTGGACGACTGAACGGCCTACGGGTGAAAATAAAGCACGTTTACAATTATTGAAACATGACCAGCTTAGAATTTTCACAGTAAAAATTCTACAGGATCTACTGAAGAACATGTCTAGGTCATATTATATTCCAAAATCAAAAGAAAGAAAAAGGAAATTATATTTTGCATAAAGCTTACTTTTAGGATTGTGACATTATTTTCAGGACATTTAAAGAAAGTTTACTTTTAGAGACAAATCCTCACCATAATGCAATAAAGATATTTTATTTACGTTTTATTAATACATTATAAAAGTGTATTCATGAGTTTAAAGTATTTTTTAAGTTTGTTTATACATCCTGCTAGAATTGATTGTACTGGATTTAATTTATGCCAGTTTAAATATTAAAAACCCATTGAATTACAGTAATTTTTATATGCTTAATTATGAAAATAATGTCACAATGCAAGGAATTTTAACGGTCCTTAAAACAGGCTTGATTTTCTTTATGCAAAAAATATATAATTGTATTTTATTTATTATAATTGTTCAAATTTATACAATATATTTTCTTTTTAAAGCATATTTTCCCTAAAAAAACTTATCACTGTAATGCAATAAAAAATACATTATATTTTATTATTAATGCATTATTTAAAATATGTATTTATATAATAATAATAATAATTCATGTACACTGTATACCAAAAATAAAAATACTGGACATTTCCGTTAACCCTAAAACACAGCAAAATGGACAGCAAAATTCAAAATACAGGTAAGAAATATACTGTAAGTACATTGTGCCCTAAAAATGCATTCATGTATACCAACAAAACTAACATTTATGTGTTAAATTAAGCAGAAATAGATCTTTAAGGGAGCAACTGCAGGTCACTGGACATTTCTGACTGTAACACCTAAATCTAACCTTCAGTCTTCAGCCTGTTCTCACTTTGTGCTTCTACAAAACACTTAACCAAAAGCACCTAGCAATGTCCTAGCAACCTTTGTTTTGGCAAATATTGATGGGCTCTTATAATATAATGGCAGTGAATGTGTCGAGTCTCACGGCGCAGGTGGCCGGTCCCTTCCTGAGGAGCCGCTGCAGCGCCGGCACGGGGCCCGGCAGAACTTCACTGGCCCGGTAGTACTTGATGAGTGGCCCTTCATCATCATGTCTTCCTCCCGCCGAGTCCTCGTGTCTCTGAATGTCCATTTCAATATCTGCCCTGGCCATATTCTGACAATAAACACACATACAAGCCATAAAACACATTAGAATTCATTCCCACACTCGAATATTTCAACACACAGTTTACTGACGGTTTTTCCATTACTTTAACTTATCAAAATAACCAATTTCAACTTCATTTTTTTTAATTATAAGATCCCAGACACAAGATTCAACTAGATTTTCAGTTTAATATAATTTAACTTGCAGTGACTTATACAGCCAATTTGATTCAACTTAAAATGTTTAAAAAGTTGCAACGTTTTTTTTGTTGTTTTTTTTTTACAGTGTATTACAAAAAAAAAAGTCTGCTTTCTGTTGTATATTTCATAAATATTATAATCCAAGAAATTAAATGCTTGGCAAATGCATGAATTGAATAAGTAGAAGTCTCATGTTGTAAATATTTGTAAATATGCATGAAACCCTCATTAAAATACGCTGTAAAAATTATATAATCAATAAGTCAACATGTTTTTCCATTACATTAACTTAT